GGAGTGAAGTTAGGGTCTCCAGACTTCTAGTATTCATGACTTTCTGAAGTCCTCTTTGACATGTTAGGGACGGTCTGTGGGATTAATAGCATATAGAAGTAACGCTGCATGGCTCTGAGAACTGTGATTTCTATCATTCTCCCTTCCTGAATTGCCTGGAACATGTGCACAAAGAGAAACATCATCTACAATGTTGTTACCTACAGCTCATATAGGGAAGGCAGGATAAAGACTGACTTATCTCACTTGGACTAAATTTCAAAATTATGAATTTATTTCACAGCATTTCTCAACAACAACCAACAAGGTATAGTCTGCTTTACCACCATTATAAACTCATGGATTTAGCCATGTGGTATGCGCCAATCCACTAAATTTACCTATCCTCAATATATAAAAAAGTTTATTTTTCATCAATTACTAAAAGCAGAGTAGGAAAGAGGTAGAGATAGATATATTCCATCCACTGGTCTACTCCCCAAAAGCCTACAATACTTGAGGTTGGATCAAGAAAATGCCAGCAACCTGAAACTTCATTTAGGTCTACCGCATTTGTGGTAGGGATCCAAGTACTCGAACCATCATCCATTGCCTCCCAGGATGCATTAGCAGGAAGATGGCTCAGAAGCAGGTAGCTTGGACTCTATTACTCACATATGGGATGTGGGTATTGCAGCAGCACCACACATCCCCCATCATCCTTACTAACACTCATCCTTGGACAGGAAGATGCCTCACGGTTGCCTCCTCAGCTCATTCGACATGATTTTATAAGGGCTTCCTTGCCATCCTGTATGACAAAATGCTATAGGCTCATCTTTTACAATTTCTGTGTCTCACAGAAATCAATCACTACTAAAGGGTTAATGGAGTCTTTTGATTAGTGGTATTTAAACACTTTTTACAGATTTTACATTTCCCTATTACAAGATCGCAATAATATCCTGCTATCTTATCTTCAAAAAAGTTGTTAATTCTTCTGGTTTTTCTATATGGTATTAACTAGGTATATCCAATTTAATTTTTTCCCCATAAGACTATCTCACATAATCTACTAAAATGTTCTCGCTTTCCCTACTGTAATATCATATTGTCTTAAATTAAGGTCCGTTATAATAATGTGTCTATTTCTGTGATTATATTTTCGGATGAGTCCATTTTTCTACCCTTAAGTCAGTATCACAATCTCCTAGTTACTACAGTTTCACTGCTTTGCTGTGATATAATGCACATACCACACTATTCACTTAAAATTCACAGTTGAAAGAGGTTTAGGATATTTAAAGATATGTGCAAGCACGACCATAATTCTTAGAACATTTTAATGTATAAAAGAAACCCTGTGCCTTTAAGCTATGATTCTTTTAAGCTTCCTTCTCACATGAACTTGCAAGTAAGTCCCAAGCAGCCATTTCTACTGTCTCAACTGACTTTCTGTCATATACATATGGGAGACAGAGAGGAAGAGCTTCTGTCTACCGATTCATTCTCCAAGTGGCACAACCTGCCAGAATTGCGCCAATCCGAAGCCAGGAGCCACAAGCTTCTGCGTCTCCCATGTGGCTGCAGGCTCCCAAGGCTTTGGGCTGTCCTCGACTGCCTTCCCAGGTCACAGGCAGGGAGCTGGATGGGAAGTGAAGCTGCAGTAGAAACTGTCTATACTTTTCTATTATGACACTGCCCATGATTTCTACTATTGCTACATAATTTATAACAATTTCCCATTTTCCATTTCTAATATTCTTCAGTTGTGAATGCTCTTTCTTTCTCGGGTAATCTTGTCAAGTATTTCTCAAAGTTATCACAATGTTTTTAAAATAATACCAACTTATTTCTTTTTTACCATCTGTATCCAATACTTTTGTCATACTTATTTCATTAGCATTTTTCTTCCAGCATCCTATTGTGTTGTTACTTTATTAGTTTTAAATTTCAATATCCCTTTAGATTTTTCTTTTCTTTTCTTTTTTTTTTTTTTTGAACTATAGTTTTGGCTTCAAGTTCCAAGTATTAAAATGCAGTGTCATTTTCCAGTTTGGAATATGTAATGTCTATCAGTGAGAATAATATATTGGATTTGGCCCCTCTCACCTAACAGTGCTTCTTATTTTCCAAATATATTCCCATTACAAAGCCAACATTATCAGGGTAGATTTCATATTTAAATGCCCCTCTCCATTTATTTTTATTATACTCACAACACAACCCAAAACCCTTTCTGGCTTTCCAAGCTAATATTATGTAGCCCTTTCTTATCTCTCCAAAGTTCTTACATAATATGCTCCAAACATGTGTGACTTCCTTTGGCCTCTGGGGGTAGATTAAACCTTTGGTTTTGCATCATTGTTCCCTCTGCAACCAACAGTTTCTCCAATTTTTGCAAAGCTAAATTCATTTGTCAAATACAAACAGCTTTCCTTAAAAATCTCAACACTTGATCTTAGCCAAATGCAAAGAAGCAATCCTTAAAACCATATCTAAAATATTTAACTATCTTAATCACCTGTTTAGTACTAACCACCATTTATTAATACATGAATTCCCAAGTAGTAGGAACCACGTTTATTTTTTCCTGAGTGTAGAACAATGACTGTTCTATAGTTCCTACTTAATATTTCATGGATCAACAAAGCTAATTTAGCTTTTCAAGTTAGGTGTTTTTTGCTTTTTTTAAATTTTAAAGTTAGGTGCTTTGTTTATTGTCCTTGATAGTTTTTTAGTTTCTGACACCAAGAGGAATCAAATGGCATCAAGATTCTATTGCAAGTTCTTGGGAGTGATCCAATGAGACGGGTGCTCAGTTTGTATCTCTGCCTTTCCAATTAAAAAACAAACAAAAACAACAGGTGCTGGGTATCAATGGTTTGAAGCCTTCCTGGTTGAGGTAGGTACAGACAGAGGCAGTAACTTCTCTGTGGTGCTTTCACACATCTGAGAATGCTTCTCAGGACATTTCAACTCATCACAAAGCCCTAACATGGATCCCCAACTTTTCAAGGAACTTCTAAGCCTCTGTAGCTTCTCTGTAACTCCCGTCATCCTCACCTTTTTCCACTTTCAATGAAATTTTGTCAAGAACTCAAATATATCTTAAGAAACAAGCAAATTTCTTTATCTCAAAACAGGTAGCCAACAAAAACACTTTTATTCTCTGAGATGAAAAAGATGGGGTGACATCGCTTGAAAACACTTAATACATCTTAATCATTAAAAAAGTAATTCGAGTAACAGGTGTTTTTTGTGCTGTAACAGACGTAATGTGTCAAACATGAACATTAAGGGTATGATTAACTAAGGATTATTCATCAACTTGAAATACACCAAAAAAGGAACAAAGAACTCCACAATCTATTAAAAATGATAAGCAGATAACAAAAACTGTAATTTCTTTCTGTGATTTTTCCTCCAGCACCAATGGGCTTCATTGTGATCATAATTCCAGTTTTACTGTCATATGGAAGGAAATGCTTTGTGAGCCTCAATAAGGCTGCCAGGTTTGGGACAGATATAGAAACCTTGGTATCAGAAACGAAAGAAAACACTTCCCAAGACGCACCGTCACTGACAGGCTGATCGCCACCTTGCTTCTGCACTGTTTCTTCCTCTGGGATAGCTGCCCACTTCTGCTGATACACCAGAGGACCACTCCACTTCCTCTCTAACGCCCTCCCTCATCCTTAGGGCTGGTCTATTCACAACCATGTCCCTACAGAGGAGTAGCCAAACCCAGGAAAGCTGTGCCTCAGCCATAACAGGATCTGTGTGGCAAACTCTTTCCTTAGCCCTTTCAATTCCTTATCTCCTGTAATTGTCCCATTATTCATCTTCTCTATAAAATTTTAAAAATATATATAACTGATAGTCTTTGCATCTCCTAATAATCATCATAAAATCCAGCTACCCCATACTTGTATCCTTTGGGGGTAGCCCAGCACCTTTAGGCCCTGGATAGTCTCCCCCAGGGACCGTGGGTGGCATGGAGTGTCCCTGAATGCCCACAGAAAAATTATGACACCCATAGCCACTCTGCCCAGCTCAACCTTGCTGACTTGTGAAGTTTTCTGGTTTACCTCCTCTTTGCCAACTTGATGAAAACACCCGACAGTATGGCAAAACGAGATCTCATGAGTGAAATCAGATCTCCACATTGTGCAGATCCATACTAAACCTGACTCAATAAAACTATTACACCTCACCTGAGATTCTGTAAAAGGCCAAAACAACAGACTGTTATGGATGTTAGAGGGAAAAAAACCACAGAATTTTAAGAGGTTTGTGGGAACTTCATTTCTTTGCATTTTTTTAAAGCTTAAAGTCAACATCCCCATGGGAAGGTATTAAGCTCGGTAGATTTTCTTCAGTTGCACCGGTCTTGGGACATGTCCTGTGGCTTCCGCGGTATCCGGGACGGGCATCCTCCAGGAGGAAGCAGCTGGCGGGTCCACTGAGGCGGGAAGACCCCGAGGGCGGGTCAGGAAGGATGAGTTCGGCTCTGAGCAGGCTCCATCACATCATGAAAACCAGAGGGTGCGGGACCGAGGGACCATTCCCAGTAAGGCCGCGGGTGGTCTCCCAAAACGCGCGGGCAGTGGGATGCACTCGCCCCTCAGCGACCGAGGGTGGCCTGCTATCTCCCAGAACGCGCGGGCTCCAAGGACGACTCTATCCCCCAGGAGCCACCGACGTGGCCGTCACCGCCCGCGCGCAAAACGCGCTCCACGCGGGTTCCCCCAACCTACCTCAGGCTCCTCACAGGCGCGCCCCCGGCCTCCGCCCACCTACCTGCGCTGCGCCTGCGCCTGCGCCTGCGCGCCCCGGCCCGCGCTCAAGGTCAGCGCCGCCCCCGGCCCCTCTCCCAGCCTCCGCGGAAGCGGCCGCCGAGGACGTCCTGCGTGGCGTGGGGTCGGCGGCGCGGCGGGGACGGGGCGGGACTTCCTGTCCCGCGCGAGTCCAGCGTCCGGCAGAGCCGGAAGAAGCGCGGGCTGGCGCCTTGGAGAGGTTGCCCGGCTGCAGGACGGAGAGCGGGAGGTGCGGGACGGTGCCGGCGGCTCCAGGGTGTGCGGCCCGCCACCCGTCCTTGGCGCCATGGTGAGTGTTGCTGTGAGGGCAGCCGTGTGGCGGTCGAACCGGGGGTGGGAGAGAGCGGTCTGAGCGGCGGGCGAAGCCCCAGCTCCAGCCCTCGGGGTGCCTGGGCCCCCCAGGAACCGGCGGGCCGGCGAGTGGGAGATCTTGTGCACTGGGCCCGGGGCGCCAGGTGGTCCCGGAGTTGACCTTGGCCGGCGAATCGCCGCCTTCCTCCGCCTCCCAGCCGTGGCCACGGACTGGGGGCCTCAGAGATGCCGTTAGCTTGTGAACGGGGTCGCCGCGGTTCCCCTGACCCTGGGAAGATGGACATTTACCACTCGAAACAACTTGGCAGTCGTTTTTCAAACTCAGTAAATGGAAAAGATGTCAGCTAAGAAATGAGGGCTTCATTCACTGAGGAGGCGAACAAGGGTTTCCTCCTCTGGGGAGGAGGGGTGTCAGGGTGCTGTGGTAAGGGTGGCAACGAGAGAACATTTGTCCTGAGGAAGCGTGTTCTGAGGAGGAATTGTGGAAGGAACTGTGTTCTGCATCCAGGCAGGTGGCAGACCGAAGTCCAGGGTCCCGCGGAGGGAAAGCACTTCAGGTTTGGGGAGTACACATTTTGTTCCGTGTAGACACGTGGTAGAACAGGTCATTTACTGAAGTGACCTTGGAAGGTCCCTAGGGGCAGCTATGTCGAAGTTGTTGAGAGTTCTTTGCAATAAGCTGTTTCCACAATACAAAAAGATAGAGGGATTTTTTAAAATGTTTTGTTTGTTTGTTGGAAAGGCATAGAGACAGATAAGTAGTTACCACCTGCTGGTTCATTTCCCAAATGCTGGCAGTAGTCGGTGTTGGGCCAGGCTAGAGCCAGGAGCCCAGCATTCAATTTAGGTCTCATGTGGCTGCTGGGGCCCCGTGGTAACACAGACTCAGGGCTGTGACATTGGTATGTAGGCATCCCAGGGGAGTTTGGAATGCTGGGCTGGGTGTCTGTCCTAGACATCTGACCTTTGTTGTTTTCCAAGATTACAGGCCCTGGTAAAGATCAACATAGTAAGTTACCTTGACCTTCTGAAAGATTTCAAACCCTTATCTGTCTTGGAATTTACCTGTAGTTTATCATGCTTTTTCCGGGGCTGAAGTTACCAACATTCCATTCCTGGGTGTAATGACTGAATGACTTAAAAGTTTAGAAGTATTAAAAAAATTTTTTATTTTGGGGACCAGTGCAATGGCTCAGTGGCTGAATCCTTGCCTTGCATGCGCTGTGTTATGTATCAGCTGCTCCACTTACCTTAAGCTCCCTGCGTGTGGCCTGGGAAAACAGGTGGATGGCCCAAAGCCTTGGGACCCTGCACCCACATGGGAGACCCAGAAGAATCTCCTGGCTATTGGTTTCTGATCTCAGCTCTGGCTGTTGCGGCCATCTGCCTTTCCAATAAAATTTAATCTTAAAAAGTAAGTCTTGCTTGTTTTTATTGGAAAGGCAAATCGTATTTACGGAAAGGAGGAGAGAGAATGAGCTTCTCCTGGTCTCCCACACAGGTGCAGGGTCCCAAGGCCTCGGGGCATTCTTTACTGCTTTCCGAGGCCTCAGGCAGGGACCTGGATGGGAAGTGGAGCAGCCAGGACAGGAGCTGGTATCCCTACGGGATGCCTGTGATTGCAGCAGGGGATTAGCTCACCGAACCATCATGCTGGCTCCCATATCTCAACTTTTTGATTTCTTGCTATGAAAAACTGAAAAAAAAGTGCTGATGAGGTCCTTGAATCCATTATAGTCAGAGAAAAGCTGAATGTGAACTTACAATATGCTTAACAGTGGAACCCCTCTCCTGCCAGTTCCAGGTTCGGTTGTGTGTAGAAGTAATGTGTACCGCCACTGTTTCACAGAATGGCACCTGGAGGCCATCCAGAGCCAACGCAGTGGCTTTCCCCATGTGACATGGCTCTGTTTCTGAGTTAGTTACTAACTTCGTTATGCACTTCTTCGCTGTGAAGCTGATACCTGTATTTGCAAGTGTGAGTGCTTGGAATCTTCAAAAGAGAAAGTTTAGCCAATACATGAAGTCAACATTTGGTAGATGTATATAATATTTAGCTTTTTAAAAATATATATATATTTGAACGGCCGAGTGATAGAGGGAAGACAGATCATGAGTGCCAGGAGTCAGGATTGGGGCAGGCAAAAGCCACGAGCCAGGAAGCAGTCTGGCTCATCTGCATGGTTGGAAGGACCCTCAGCTGCTGCTTTGCTCAGATGAGTTAGCAGGGAACTGGATCAGAGATGGAGCAGGAAGGCCTGGGACCAGCACCAGCATGCTGCACCCAGGGGTGGGAACAGTGGCATTTCCTGCTGCGCCACTGCTAGCCCCAAGGTGAGCATGCACATTACAGATTCTACCATAAATGAATTTGATAAAATTGTCTAATGTTAATAAGTTTTCCTTGCTAAATAAAATGGGACTTGATGGGTTAAGGTAAAGCACTTTCCAGGGGCCACAGCAGGACAAGCTTCGACCTGCAGTGGTGTCATCGTATATGGGCACCAGTTCAAGTCCCAGTTGCTCTGATCCACCTCCCTACAAATGTGCCTAAGGAAATCAGTACGGGATGGCCCACTTTACAGAGTGAACCAGCAGATAGAAGATCTCTTCTCTCTGCAACTCTGCCTCTCAAACTTTTCTTAAGATTTATTTATTTTTATTGGAAAGGGTGGTTTACAGAGAGAAAGATCTTCCATCCACTGGTTCGCTCCCTGAATAGCTGCAGTGTCCGCAGTTGGCAGCCCAGACGCAGGAGCCTAGAGCTTCCTCCGGGTCTCCCACATGGGTGCAGGGTCCCAAAGCTTTACACCATCATCCATTGCTTTCCCAGGCCATAAGCATGAAGCTGGATGAGAATTGGAGCAGCTGGGACACTAACAGGTGCCCGTATGGGATCACAGCGCTTGAAGGGGGAGAATGAACCACTGCGCCAGACCCAGTTTATTATTCTTACATTTATGATTCTGTACTTAACTAGGATTTTGTTCAGAATAGGTACATGTTACTGGTTACGTAGGACTTATTCTGACTTCCGCTACTTTTTCTTTGTCGTTTGGTTTCTTCAGTTCATCAGTCTGTGGTTTTGTATCACGCAGATAATACATGAGAACTTTGTTCATTTGTTTGACTACGCATTTCACTGCTCTGAAATAAGAGTCAAGAATTGAAGATAACTCTTGGGACTTTTTTGGCTTTATTTTTGTTTTAATCATTGCAAACAGATACTTGTTCCTTCTCGGATGTGTTGTGTAGCCCCAAGTGCATTAGATCCTTGTTCGTATAGCCAGGTTGTCATTTTGTGAGTAAATGACAATAGAATTGGGATCTAGGCTAAAAACACTGATGAATTTTTATGTGGTCAAGTTGTGGAAATGTATATGGAAAATTCCCTAAAGGCATACAACTATTCCATTATACTTTTCTGTTTGAGAAGTACAAGCTGAAATCACACGGAAGTGTTTCTGCCACTGAAGCTGATTGTGGGAAGAGTGGAGCTAGTTCTTGGGATTGCAGATATTTTTGGGCCTGTTTTATGTACAGAGGCACGCTATAGCAGCTAAGTTGGGGACAGAGAAGGTTGTAAACTTTGGTCATAGTCAGCGTAAATAAGAAAGCTTTCTTCTTTTCTTGCAGAGGGTAGGTGGGAATGTTGGGAAAGATTTTGGTAAATGCTTTAAGAAATGCATGTGATACACTCAGTACGGAGAAAAAGATACTCTAACTGTAGAGGTGAGTGGTGGTCATGTAGCATAGTGGTTGGTTTCAACTGAGTTTTGAAGAGTAATTAAGGGCATTAGTTCTCAAACATAGGTTTGGTTTGCTGTTGCTGCTGCTTATCTGGACCCTATGGTTGGGTGGCGGGGAGTGAAGTTTCAGAATATTACTTTCAGTAAATTCTGCAGTTCATTCTGAAGTAGATGATCCTTAAACTACCTTTAGTGGGAAATGCAGGCAGAAAAAAGGCAAATGGAGGCACTGGAAGTTTGAGCTGGGTGAAATCCGTCCTGAGCGATTTGTCTTCTGGTGCAGGGGTAGCAGTTAACCACATAGTGATGGAAGGATGGGCTGCTTAGCTCTTTCTTTTCCTCTGACTTGGCTGCTTTACCACTTCTTTCCAAAAGGAGCTTAGTACTTGTTGATTTCAACGTTGTTTTTTAGGCTGGATTGGCTGGCTTGTCATTCTTTATTATTTTTTTTGTTTGTTTGTTAATAGCGTTTGATAGTTCTCACATAGACCTTGTATATGCATGCATTTTGTTAGATTTATACCTAAGCATGAGCCCGGCACTGTACCTTAGTGACTAAAGTCCTCGCCTTGCTTGCGTCAGGATCCCATATGGGCAGCAGTTCATATCCCAGAGGCCCTGCTTCCCATCCAGCTCCCTGCTTATGGCCTGGGAAAGCAGTGGAGGACGGCCCAAAGCCTTGGGACCCTGTACCTGTGTGGGAGACCCAGATGAAGCTCCTGGCTCCTGGTTTCAAGTTGGCTTGGCTCCGGCCGTTGCAGCCACGTGGGAAGTGAACCGTCAGATGGAAGAGCTTCCTTTCTGTAAATCTGTCTTTCCAGTAAAAAATAAATAAGTCTCTTAAAAAATTATTTATACCTAAATATTTAATTGCTTGAATACATGTATAAATGGCATTGTGTTTTAATCTCAAGTTCCACTTGTTCATTACTGGTGAATACACATAATCCTACAGCCTTGCTGTAATCACTTAGAGTTTCAGGATATGTCACATATCTAGCTCTTTTACATTATTATGGTTTTTAGAGAATCCATTTCATTCACTCCTAATATTCCAGCATTACATACCTTTTTTTTTTCCTTCACCTAAAAGAGTGATTATGTTGCTAAGATAGATTCAGTATCTTTTGCATTTTGGGCCATAAATTGTAAAACTTAGGAAACCCTGAAATATTCTAATGTTTATACTTGGATATGGAGACTCAGTGTTGCTACCTGATTATAATGC